TTAAAAAATTAAAAGTTTAGTAACATAGTAGTTTTAGGTTAGTACATATCTGCATATATATATATATATATATATATATATATATATATGTGTGTGTGTTTGTATATTTCTTAATGTGCTCTCATTTTATCATATTTTGAAAACACTAACATTTTATTAATGCATTCATTCATTGATGATTTTTCCTTAGGTTTGATACAAAATCATGCCAAGTCGTCTTCAATGCCATGTAGTACATCATTTGTTCGAAATCCTTCCACTAACATACGCTGTAGTGAAAAAAGAGTTAAAAATTGGATAATACCTGGTAATAATAAGTGTATCCATAGAAACTTAAACTCAAATCACTCCTTATATTACCACAAAAAAGAACATCAGTATCTTCCTTATCCTTATAGAATTGTGAATCATAAAGCTGATCATGTAAAGTGCCCTGACATGTCTTCAAGGTCATCTGAAATTATTGCCAAAAGTAGATTTAAATTGGTTAGGCCACCAACTTCTTCTGTTGCATCATTAACACCTATTACCATACAAGGACATAAACTTGCATCTGAAACAAAAACAAAGGAACAGTCAACTGTACCTTCTCTTTTGGTATCTAACAACAGCACTTCTGTTGTCAAGAAAGCACACAAAATGTCTTTGATAAACAGCACTTCAGTTTTATCATCAGCTTCTGTTGTCAAAAAAAAATTTCAAGGAGCTAAAAGCCAAGCTGAACCATCTTCCATGATAATAAGCAGTCCAATGTTCCAGAAAAAACATCAACTTGTTTCAGTCATTAATGATCATAATAGAAATACATCTGTATCTGTGATGAAAACATTAAAATTTAGGAAAGATAGTTGTGTAACAGATTTTAAAGATATCACTAAATGTAATAGAAGAAATACTGTTTTTAAGAAACAAAATAGTATTAAAACTCAGTCAAAAAATACTATGCATGTAAAAGGTAAGGCAAGTTATGATGATCCAAAGGACTTGATATGTTCTTCGAAGATGTTGCAAAAAGCTGTTTCTTCTAAAGAAAACCAGTTCCTTAATGAAAAATTCCATAACGATAAAAAACAGGAGTATTACCACAATTTGCAAGGTTCATCGAACAGAAAACTAACTAAGCAGTTAAAAGCTGCAAGAACACTTGTTAAACAACCAACCACTAACAGAGCACCTATAGTACAACTAAGTACTTCTAGAGAATTTGTTACACAAACAAGGTTGATCAGAAAGTGCAAGTTATCAGATAAAACCACAAAACTGATTAGAACACCATTAATTAGAATCGTAAAATCAAAGTACAAAGTGATAAATGAGAAAGTCCAGCAAGGAAGGACAAGTTTTCAGAACAGGAAAATATTGTCACCTGTAGAGAAAAGCAGATGTGACTACAAGCCAGTTGTAAGGAGTAAGAAGAACAAGTCACACATTATTGGTAAACATTTGTTATTATTTATTTTTTTCTTAAACCAAGTTGTTAGTTCTGTTCAAGTAACTGCTACTTGTTATTAACTAGACATCAAAGATCAAAGTTAAATGTTTATTTAGTAAAAGTATTTTAATACTGTAATTAGAATAACCATTTTAAATGTGATAAAAATGATTTACTAAACATACAATGAGCAGTGTTTAACACAGCTAATTTGACTTTTAATGCCCTCTACACATATGGGAGTAATATATGAAAGTTAAAACTTAAAAACTAACCAAATATGTGTAAGTGATAATTACATATGAGAAATATCACAGTAATAATAAAACTTAAACAAGCAACAACAATGGTAGCTGTGATAAGAGTAATGAACAGAAACTTTGTTATCCTTTCACCCCATCTCTAAACTGTATATTCTGACCTACCTTATCTTTAGGTGTCTGATGTCTTTTCATGTAAAAAAAACTTTTGTAGCTTTCAAACAGATATGATTTTACACAAATATTTTCACAATTCATAAAAATAAAGTGAAAGGAACATTTACAGAAACTATAAAAACTTAAACTATTATATTTACTTCATAAAAATAAGTAAGAACTTCAACATTTAAAAATGCACAATAATTTATTGTTAAAGGTAAAATATACAATTAAAACTATATGTTTCAACTGAAAAAATTCCACCATCTCTTGAAGATGATGTAATTTTTTCCACCAAAACATGTAGAGTTTTAATTGTATATTTTACTTTTAACTTTATACAGTAAATTATTGTACATTTTTAAATATTGAAGTTCTTATTTATTTTATGAAATCTATGCATGAGAATGGTCATAGAATATATATTGGTTATTATATTTACTATTATATGATAATCTAATTCTTGCACTAGCCAGTCATATTTAAACTTTCTTTATAACTGTTTCAGAGCTGACTAGTGGGAAGGTAATTGTCTGGCAGCACCTCCTGGTGATTTATTTTTTCTTTTGTTTTGTTTTTCTTGAACTGCTAACTAGAAGAAAGGCAACTGTCTGATCTCGGAGAGCCTTTTTACTAATGAGTCCTTTCATATAAATATTTAATATTAATTGTCACAATATAACAGTATTACTATTTTTATGGTTTTCTTTAAAATATTATCAAATAATTGTAAGTCTTTGATAGACTTCTATGATTTGGTCTTTGAACCTGTCATAATGTAGTATGATTATCATACTCATGGTGGGAAGCTTTATTAAGTGAACATTGATGAAAATTGCTTTATGCTTCTGGGTAACTAAGTGGTTAGAGCACTGTCCTTGTTAGCCAGAAACTCAGAGTTCAAGTTTTGGTCCTGGGTGTCTTTTCATTTGAGAGTTTTTTCACTTAAATACCTCATATTAATTGTTGCGATATTACAATAATACTGTTTCAATGTTTTATTTATTTAATTTTATACATAAATAATTTTAAAAATCCCAAATTTTGATTTTCAGTTAATTTTGGTGTCATCCAAATGAAAACATTAGTGTTTGTGAATTTCCTAATTTTTTTTCCTGATCATAATAAAGCACTCGTAGGCCCCTAAGAGGAAAGTCAAAAAAATTTTTTTTTATCAAAATAGTGCTAATTTGAACCTTATAACTTCAATACAACTGTAGATTTATCAGTTTTAGCCAATCATGGTTGTCATTCTTTGATGTAATTGCCTATATGTCAGCTTTGTAAAGCCATAGGCTAGGGATCCAAACAAGTAATGAAAGCTCTCTTCTTTCTTTTATTGTACACCATAAACACAACATGTGATATTTTTTGAAATCAAAGCAAAGTTAAAACTTACAGTTTAAGTTTTCATTTAGTAAAATATGTCTCATGTTTGGTAATAAGCCAGACATGATGTGCTTCGAAGTTGAAAACAGGGATATTACAATATATACTTGCACACATTTGTTTGAAGCCTGTTGTGTATGAAGTATTCCATTTGTATAATATATACATATGGTACATTATAGATAAATAGATGTAGTGACATATTTTGAGTTTTAAAATTCTCTTCATAATGTTCTAGGAGGTTCAACATGGAACTGGAACAAGAAGTCCTTCATGTACAAGAAACGGACATGCCAAGCTCATCATCAGATACTCAAGCCAACTAGCAAACATGTGTATAAAGGATATCATATGTTTTTGAAGAATAAATTCATCAGGTGTGTTTTCAGATGCAGTAGGATGTAAAGAAAAATGTTTTTCTTAATGCATTTTCTACTTTCTCTAGCACTGCATCGCCATTTTAAAGTATTATGGCTATAAAATTGTAGAGTATAATGTTCTTTATTATACCAGTGACCTATTTGATTGATCACCAGAAAATATAAATATC